TAATTCCTTGTTTCTGTACGGTATGACACTATTAGCAGTAGGATTGGCACTATTCTTGTAGTTTCATATCTCTAGATATCTGTCATAATTCGTTGTATTATTTTCTTACACTGTCTTATTATATTGTTGTTGGTATTGTTTCTCTATTGCTCCATCTTTTACGTTCTTGAGCCGAAGGTCTTTCGGAAACAACCTCTCTACCTTCATAGGTAGGGGTAAGGTCTGCGTAACACTACCCTCCGCATACCCCACTTGTGAAATTTTACTAGGTTGTTGTTGTTATCTAAAAATGTAGAATACTCCCATTGTATGGGTCCAAATTTGGACGACCACGACCATTGATGAATACGACAAACGACGACGACGGCGCGAGGCTTGCCTTCTTCTCAACTCTTTAAAAGCTAGAAGAAGAGAAATTGCTTATATACCCATAAAAAACCTCTTCTTCTTCCAATATGGGACAATGTCCCTTTGCCAAGAGAGGAAACTTAAAATTTTATTTTCCTCCATTTTCCATTCACCCTATTTTAAGCATATCATATACTTAAAAACCCAACACGTGTAATAGCCAACGAATAATTATAGTATATGTGGAATTATTGTCCACCTAAGATCCATGTGTACCGGGTAATTCCAAGTCAAACAAACCGGATTAAAGATTAAATTACCCACCCCAAATAACTATTTTAATTTTACAGCCACTCAGTAAAAAACCCTAACCTCAACCCCGTCTCCATCCATCCTCTTCCCCCTTCCAAAATCAATTGTTCCACTAGAGAAAATGCTGGAATCATCAGCTACTTCTCATAAAAGATTGAAGCCAATAATCTGAAATTCGTACAAATTTCACTCCCGTCTTAGTTTATCATCTGCATTTTCATCTGAAGAAATTGTAAAGTCGATTATTTAGCGTGGCCTTCAACAAGAATATTGTCCTTCTGCCTATTTTTATTGGTATGTCTTTAGTTACTATTTTACTGAGATTTTTAGTTGTCTATTAGGGTTTTGTGCTAGTAAAATGATATTTTGGGAATTGTAGATATAAAAATAGATTTTTTTTCATTTCTTTTCTTCGAATCTTGCTGACTGTGCACACGTGTTGTGTTTTCTTGTTCATTGTAGGGTAAAATCATATCAGTGGACGAATATATTCTTGTACGCTTTTACCATGGTAGAACATTTGCCGAATCTCCAGGTGCCAAATATGTCACTAATATAGAGATAAATCAGTGTTCTATTGACAAAGACCATTTCTTCATGTTTGAACTTCAATATTATACAAGGGGTTTGGGTTATGCAACTGTTGGGGGTTTTATGTCTTTAATCCTAATACTAAAGAATTTGTCTAGGTGGAAAATGATGAACAACTATATAATATTGCTTGTTATTGTAAGGAAGGTATATTAGATTTGTACATTTTACATATTATTGAGATAATTCCTGATAGTGCGGTCCCAATTGGATATTTATGTAGGCCAGAGGTTGTTGAAGAAAGTAACAACACAATAAATAATCCATCTAGGAGAATAAAAGATGGTCCAAACAGTATAGATGGATCACAACCTATTGAAGCCTCTACTTAAAGAGCTTGAGACTATTATTATTGCAGAAAAGGCTATTGCTGGCGGGGAATGGTTTGTTACTGGTGGGGAAGGGGCTGTTGCTAGTGGGGAAGATGCTTCTGGTAACCTAAAAGATGATGTCGCTAGTGTAGAGAATGTTACTGGTGGAGAAGGAGCTGGTTGCTTCAGAGGTAGCTAGTAGTGAATTAGATCTTGATGAAATTCCTGATGAGGATGATAACGAGGTTGATGAAGAGTAGAAGACCTTCATAAATGAGAGGAGAACTAAAAAGAATGAGCAGAAGGAAGAAACAACTTGAAACTGTTGGTGTGGCTGTAGGAGAAGCTGGAATTGATAGAAATTTTGAAGATATAGGATTGAACAAAAAAGGGAAATATGTTGGCATATTAGGAGGTGATGAGGAGTTCATTGACAGCTCTATGATGGCAGTGATTGTACTGATGAAGAGGTAGAGGTGGATTTTGAGCCTAGTGTTGACCTTCCAAGTAGAAGAAAGAACACAAAGGTTAGATATGACATAGGATGTGAAGTGACAATTTTTGAGTTGGGCATGATATTTAAGAATGTTGAAGAATTTAGGAAGGTAGTGGCTGATTATGCAATAGAGTATAAAGTTCAACTTAAACTTAAACCAAATGAGAAGGATAGGGTAAGGGTGAAGTGTAAATAAATAAATACAAATGGGAGTTGTATGCTAGTGTTAATAGAGATTCTGGTGACTTTATGATCAAAAAGTATTATCCTGTTCATAAATATCAACCAATGAACACCAACAAGATGTGTAATTCAAAATACATTGCCGATAAATTCAAGAAAGAACTTATTGTTGCTCCTTATATGAGAATCTAGAAAATTCAAGAACTAGTTGGAGAGAGGTTGGGATTATATGTTGGCAGAACAATAGCTTATAGAGCCAAATAAATTATTCTTAGAAAGTTTATGGGGATTGGAAAATAGAATTTGCCAGATTGTATAACTATGCTCATATTATTAAGGAAACCAATCCTAGCAGCTCTTGTTGGGTAAAAATTGACAGAGAATCAGAGCCTAGTAAGAACCTATTTCAGTACTTCTATGTTTGCTTTGATGCACTCAGGAAATGTTGGTTAGAAGGATGTAGGAACAACATTGGTTTAGATGGTTGTTTTCTAAAGGGAAACTGCAAGGGTGAACTACTGGTGGCTGTGGGAAGAAATAAGAACTAACAGATGTTTTCTATTGCTTGGGCTGTTGTACACCATGAAACAAAATATTCATGGAATTGGTTCATCAGTCACTTGATAGAAGATTTGCAACTAGGTGAAGGTGAAGGATTAACAGTAATGTCAGATATGCAAAAAGTAAATAATTTATTTTTGTTTATTAGTTCTTGGTATTCTATAGTTTCATTTAATTTTTGATGTTGTATATCATGTTTTGCAGGGGCTTATGATATCAGTTAAGGAGTTATTACATATGGCATAACAAAGAATGTGTGCGAGGCACATATGATCTAAGAAATGGAAGGGAGAAGAAAAGAGGAAACAATTCTGGATGGTTGCAAAGGCCAGCTATCTATTTAAGTACAATAATGAAGTTGCAAACATGAGGAAACTCAGCTCAACTATATGCGAAGACATGATGAAGTACCCAAGAGAGACATGATGTAGACCATTCTTCCAAGAATATTCCAGGAGTGACATAGTAGAGAATAACATGTGTGAGACTTTTAACTTATGGATATTGACTGCTAGGCGTAAAAGTATTATTACCATGTTAGAGGAAATTAGGCATAAGATCATGTCTAGAAAGGTTGATAAGATAAAGTTTACTGAAATATGGATTTCAAATATATCGCATATGGCTAGGCTAACATTAGAAAAAAATAAGGAGTTGGCTAGACAGTGCACAGTTATATGGAATGGGCAGGATAGATTTGAAATCAAAAAGAAGATTTGAGATTTATGGTTAACACTAGGATGAAGACTTGCAGTTGTAGACTTTGGAGGTTGAGAGGCATCCCATGTGAACATGTTGTGTGTAAATACTATTAATCCAGATCAATATGTGAAGGATTAATAAAGAAAGGAAATATTTCTAAAGTCTTATGTCTTCACTCGACCAATTCTTAACTTGAAGATATGGCCTGAGAGTAATAATCCTACCATTGAATCACCAGCCCCAAAGCCAATGCTAGGCAGACCCCAAAAAAATAGAAAGAAGAACATGAATGAACCTGAAAAGAAATGGGGCGAGTTGTCCAAAAAAGGAGTGAAGATGACATGTTCACAATATCATCAAGTAGGCCATAACATAAAAACACGTACATCAAGGGCATGCTATATTTTTCTCTAAATTTATATTAATCATGTAAGCTGAAACTAACTGTATGTATGTATTCATTTTAGAATGCATCTGGAGGGTCTTCAAGTAGACAAGAACCTTGTGGAAGTCAACCAAGTCAAAGGAGTTCCATCTGCGATGAAACAACAATAGTTGTTACAAGGCCAACAATTGGTGCAAACAACAAAGGAAGGGGCAAGGGAAGAGGAAAGCCACCTAGTGCAGCTATCAGACCTACAAAAGGTGCATTTCCAGATGCACTTTCTCGGACCGCTCCTATGGGAAGAACTACACAATCAAGGGCAGCAAGAGGATCTTCATCTGGTATGAAAATGGGAAGGGAAAGTGGACCTGCAACTGCAGAATCATGTGTTTCTTCTAGGGAAAAAAGGCCAAGAATTGTTGGCTTTGGATGATATACTAACCTAGAGACGGGAAGGACCGTCCTTAATGTAAGAATCTTGCACATTTCAATTCTAGTTATTTTCAGTTTTTTTTCTTATCTTTCTGATTTGGACAATTATAGCCTGGTACTTCAAGTCTGAGAGTTGTCAACCATGAGACTAGAGTAAGGAGTACTATTGATGTAAATCTGGATGATGGAATTAGGCTTCTAAAACTTAGATGAAATGAGGGAGATGTTATTACTACATCACAACTGCAGCATGAGTGCAAGTAGAAGAAACAAAGTTGGACCACAAGCATTATCTCAGTCTTCAATTTAAGTGATTATGGATAAGCTAATCAAAAAAAGTTAGTGACCAGTCAAGGTTATGTAAATTAGTGACAAGTCAAGATTATGTAATATGCAACACTTGTTTTTGTTAGAACTAGTTTTTTTGTTCAATGTAGTTTGCTACACTTAATTTAATCTTTTGGAACTGGATTATGTAATATGCAGCACTTCTTTGTGTCTAAATTTACTTTTGGTTCAATGTAATTTGCTGCACTTCTTTTCATTCTTTGGTATGAATTACATTCCATTCCATTTATAAGGCAGCAATGAACCAGCTTTTGAATTGCAACAATTTTGTACAAAAACCGCTGATACATTTCATTGATAAGGCAACATTCATATAAGAGTACAACAACAGTAAACACTAAAGAATTGCAATATTTTTTAACAAAAACAAAGAAACATTGCAGTATTAAGGCAGTCAATTATACAAAATAGGATCCCAACCATCCGAAGTATAGCAGGAATCAACAAAACAGAAGCAACAGAATACACTAACTACATTAGCTAACCTATATTACAAACAATTTTCTCAGAAATTCATAACAGACCAAAGCCAAATAGAACAGTTCTCATCAATAAGAGCAAGAACCACAACAAAGCCATATGATTAAGGCCATCAGTAGAACAACATACACTAGTGTGTTTATTCATTTTTTTTGCTTGATCTCTTTCTTGATCAAAGTCCTTCACTCTCTTCAACAAACCCCAAATAACTCTATTCACTTGCTTAGGAAACTCGTCCTCAAACCATCTAAAATATTTACATCCGCCATTCTCCTTCAAAAAAAAATAAATATAAACCCATATAAATCAATGGAAAAGAAATCATAGAAAAGAGTTACAGCAAAATTGTAGCATACAAAGTTTTTTGGCAGAATATACTTACATTGTCAATTTTGCAGACAAAGTACTTTATTCCTGGGTTAACTGGAACCCATGAAATTTTTAGTTCACACAGACGCTCACATCGACAAGAGCCAACCCTTTCGGTGTTTTGGGACATTGTTCAACTAGAAATTAAGAGAAGATAGCAGGATGATGGAGTTCTTTCAAATTGAGGGAAAAAAGCTCCGATTTTTACTACTTGATGAAGAATTTAGCTCAGTTGAAATGTTGAAAAATTAGGGCTTGGGAGAAGAAGAGAACGATGGAGAAACAGGTTAAAATAACGTGGGATTTGGTCTAGTACCGTTGAAATAGTCCATGCCAACCTTTTTTATAATACTCACACGCTCAATATTTGTGATTGCCACGCAGGTGATTCGTGTGTATTTTGTGTTTAAGTGACACAGTAATAACGTGCTTATAAAGACAAGATTGCGTATCATAGTAAAAAGTGATGACAAGTTTAATGGGTTATCGATCTATTCCACCAATTAATTTTTGCTAAGCTTTATCTTTATGAGCAACTAATATAAGTATAATAACCTGCTTACATGGTTCAAATAGAACATACTCAACATTGAGTGTCACAGTGGAAAGTGAGTACAAGTTTAATTGGCAGCCGTCGTATTCTGCCAATTATTTTGGGTAAGCTTTATCTTTATGAGCAACTAATATAAGTAGCCAGGTGGGCTCGTGTAGGTGGATACTAAACGACGACGTAATTGAGCCTTGCTAATCTGTCCTTGAGCTCTTCTATTATTTGCTTGTATCGAAGTTCGCAACTGTCCAAACCAAATAGTCTTCGCCGGCGGCCTGCAAAAGTTTTCCTCATTTCTCAGTTCGTGATCTTTCAATGTCATGGTTTGCTCGATCTATCGCCAACACACTCAAACTCGATGACGAAAACGACTTCGTTTCACGTCCAAATCACGATCACTCCACCGAGGAGAAGAACCAAACAGATGATAATGATTCATCGCCAGTATCACCATCACGCGGCGTCAAGGAGGACATCTCAGAGCTGACCAAAACCCTAACCCGTCAATTCTGGGGAGTGGCTTCTTTCCTGGCCCCACCGCCTCAATCCGACCCCTACAAACCTATAGAGGATCCGAATTCAGAACCGGATCGTAATTCGAATGAGGAAGAATCCGACCCGGCAGGGATCGCGGGTTTGCGGAGCGATATTGCTGAAATCGGCGGCAGATTCAAGACTGGAATATCTAAGCTGTCGAAGAATATCCCTGTCTCCGAAATTACCAAAATGGCATCCAACTTACTGCAACTGGGACCAGAGGAGGAGGAAGAAGAAGGTAGAGGTGCAGTAGGTGTTACTGAAGAAGTAGTAGCTTTTGTGAGGGACATTGCTATGCATCCTGAAACTTGGTTGGATTTCCCTTTGCTCGACGACGAAGATGACGAAGGTGTCTTTTCCCTTTTTCATTTTCTATTTGAACCTGCCCTTTCATACTTTCGCTGCGTTTTAATACTCACTGCAATGCTCTAGATCAAACCTTCTAGTGCTACTCTTAAGGGGGGCAAAAGAATAAATCAGAGACTGAAAAGATGGCTTGAGCATGAGAAGACTTCCCTCTCTTAGCCGAATATGATATGAAATTAAACTGTCGGATAAAAAGCGGATATCAAAGGTTGCTTGTAGCTTGTGAAAGATCACCCATCAATTCATACTGGCCTCAAATTGAAACATTTCAATTACTAGGTATCTGCAGGAAAGATAGAAAAGATGGAAGCTTTATTGAGGTTTCAATTTGATTAATGCAGGATCCCATATACAGATATACTGCGGTTCCAAAACTGCTGCCCCGATCTGTTCCTGATATATATGTTGGTTTTGCAAACTCAAGCATAGCATAAAAGATTGTTAATTGATGTGGTACTGTATGATAATTTGGTATTTCAAATTTGAACTAGGGGATCAGAGAGGTTGAACTCCGTCTTGGTTAGTGGTAAAACATTGTCCTAGCAAATGAAAATTTTGTGGAATTAAGTCCTTAATGGAATTAGAAAGAAAAATGAAACTTGAATAGAGGTAAAAGATGCAATGCTTGTTTGATTACTTGAAAGTAGAGGGTTAAAAGTTGCAAGTGTTGTGCACAGATATCTTTTGCATGTCCAACAGTCAAATGGTGAATTGCTTATTTATGTGCATTTCATGATGAAACGTTACCCTTTGGATGTTTGCATCACTGCCCTTTTATTTATCAATGACTTAGGTCATATCTGTACTTATTCACCCTAAACAAGGCGCTGAACTTTTATTAATACCCCCATTATGATTGTGACATGTAAATTGTAATTATGTATGCTGAATCTCTTTCTCACTTTCATTTTATTATCTAGGATTTTAAGAAGTAGTTTTCTGTGTATTTACACGAGTGGTTAGTCTTAACACTCAACAGATAACTTAATGTTTTTATGTCAGTTGATGACACCAATTCGCTATGTTCTGCTACTTTTGGATCAATCTTTCAAATTGTTTACCCTTCTTCATATATCATGCTGTTACGCATTCTTACCCTACTAGCCAAATAAATATTATACATTCTTACTCTTAAATATTCTAATTGCATGTTTTCTGATTCCCTGCTTTGCTGGCTCAACTTGAAGCCCTTAATACATGATCGATTGGTTATTATGCATGGCAATAACTCTTTCCATATACGTGGCTATCACTTCTCCTAGTGTAGTTGTTGTGTAATGTATACTCTGTGTTGTGTAAACTTAAAGGGAATATTAAGCAGTTAGCTCACATCAATTATCTTATGGGTTTTCCCTTTACAGTAGATTTTGACTTGTCTGATGCACAACAAGAGCATGCATTAGCTGTTGAACGTCTTGCTCCAAGACTGGCCGCTTTGAGGATTGAGCTCTGCCCAGGTTACATGAGTGAGGCTCGCTTTTGGGAGATTTACTTTGTTCTTCTTCACCCTAGACTGGATAAACAAGATGCTGAACTTTTATCCACACCCCAGGTAAGGCACTGCATGTAATGCCAGTAATGGTTCCATTTCTCGTTTCCCTTCTATTTAGCACTTGAAGTGATGTTTTTTTTCTTTCTTTTACCAAGAAAAACAATCTTTATCTGCAAAGGTAGCAGAAGCCATTCCATGCATAACATACCATCTATGACTAGTTGGCTTATGACACCAATTGACACTGTCAACTATGTAGCTCTTGTGTTACTATTTGTAATCGAATGCTGAATAAGTCTTAAGGAGCATAGGGAAAAGTATCCTTGTGAGATAATAGACACAGTTGGGACCATCCTAAACAGAAAAAGTTAATCTGGGATTTGAGAGAACACCACATATCATGGTTAATTAATTATGGGGTTTAGAGAAATTCATGGCCTCTTTTGATTCTAGGTGAACAACTCTTATACAGAAGTGATTTTTTATTTTTTTGGTACATGGAAGTTGTTATCCTGATGTGTATGGGTCAGAAAAGCTTTTTTTCCCAGTGAGAAGCTCTTTAGCTTATTTCTCGTTAAACCGATGCTAGTATTTCTGCTGCGCGCAATCTGCGCCTCCTTTTACTGTTCCAATTGTATCTTCATTTGAATCTGCCATCAGAGCTTAGGGATCATTCTCTATCCTATTTCTGATGCAGTACTATTCTTGGGCCTTCACTACTGTACATGTGAAGCCATTGTGGCCATTCATGGGAGCTAGTCGAAACATCTTCCTACCTTTCTTTTCACCATGACTCTTTCCTCTCTTTTTTTTTTTGCTGCTTATGTTGCTGCTTGGAAATTCTCCTGCTCCTCTATCCTCTCATCTCTTTTACTGTCGAATGCTTCAAGGTTGTACTTCTTTTCTTAATGCATTACTTTTTTGTTCATTTTTTTCTGGTGAGCATCCTAGGGTTTGCCTTGGGCTTCTTGTTCTCCCCCCGGACCCCCTAGTTTGTACCATAAACGTGTATCATTCAGTAGTGTGCCTGTGAATGAGCAGGGAGGGAGACAATAACCTGTCAATCAATATAGTGAGCATGAATCCAATACTGATCTTAATTCAAAAAGAGAATCCAATACTGAAACTTATTCAAAAAAAAAAAACAAAAAAAAAAAAAAAGAATCCAATACTGAAGCAGAGTGACTGGTCGTGCTTGGGTAGTTAGCATACGATCAGAGCGTGCCCTTGTACTCGAGAATGGCTGTTAACCTTTTAGTGCTAAAAATGCTAATCCTGTGTGTAGGTTGTCAGAGCCAGGGCCTCATTGGCACACGAGTTACATAAGCAAACCCAGCCAATAGAAGAAGATTGGTCAAATAAGGAAACTTCTGAATCAACTGATAGGAGTGGCTCTCAACATGAGGAGATGCTTGCCGTCCCGTCCACTGCTGTTTCTACGGATGTGGTTCAAGAGATGCCTAGTGTGGAATCTGCCACTTCACCTACAGTTTCCAGCTCTGGTACCAATGTGCACCCTGTCATTAATGAAAATCAAACTGTTGATAAACTTGTGGTTGAAGGACCTATTACCAATAGCAAAGATGAAAAATTGCAATCTGCATCGGTTATAAAGTTAGAGGAGAGTGATGAAGAGGATGCTGATGATTGGTTAAAGGAAGAAAGCACAGAAATTATGGGTACCAGTAAAACGGGCATGTCCATTGAGCATGATGAGGATGTGTCCTTCAGTGATCTTGAAGAAGATGATTCAGATGTGCCCGCAAATTCAAAGAAAGTAAATTACAGTTCTGATAAGGACTCACGAGATTGGGTCCAGTTGAGGAAAAGCTCCAGTGATATCAGCTCTGTGAATCAAGGTGGTTCTGTCAAGGAAAATGTGCAGAATCCTGATAGCAAAGAATCAAATGATTGGCTGGATATTGATGACATTGAGGTGGCATGACCTTATGTAAGGTTTAAATATAGTTATTTCCGCTCATTTATTGTTGTGAATAGTTGTTCCCTATCCTCCTTTCTCCGCTCTGCGCTAAGAATTCTCAACTATATGTTTGTACATAAAATGCATAATGAATAATAGTTGGGTTGCTCCCATTATTACACTTATGCAATTTTCTTTTTAAATTGATTCTGCCATATGGTGGCAGTGCCATTTATGTATAACAAGAGAAAATTACAACAAGATAGTTGAGTTTGTGCTTCTGCACAATACTCCATTAAGGCAGAATGGACATGCCCATTTGAATGACAAAAAAAAAACATTTAAGCTCTTTACAATATACTCTTTTCCTATAACTTACAAACTATATGTGTACTTGCTGCATATCAACTACACATATGTTAGTCCTTGTTAATAGATGTCTTCGCTGCAATTATTGTTTTTGTGATATTAAATGCT